GGAGAACTCCTGCTCCGGCTCCACCTAGCTTGAGCGATCCATCAAAGTACATCTTCCAATGGTCAAGGATGGTGTTTGACATAGGTTGTTGAATTTCTGTCCACTCGGCCACAAAATCGGTAAGGGCTTGTGATTTAATTGCCTTCCGTGGGGTGAAATCGATATTGAGAGCTCCAAGTTCAACTGTCCACTTAGATATGCGCCCTATTGTGTCTCTGTTGTGTAGGATGTCTCTAAGTGGGAAATCTGTCACGACGGTAATCTTGTGGCTTTCAAAATAGTGGCGTAGCTTTCGTGATGTGATTAGAAGAGCGTAGAGTAGCTTTTGCACATGCGGGTATCGGATTTTTGATTCTGATAGAACCTCGCTGATGTAGTATACGGGGCGTTGTACTTTATATATGCGCCCTTCTTCTTCTCTTTCTACGACTATTGCGGTGCTGATCACAGTAGAAGTTGCCGCAATGTATAGCATCATGTCTTCATATATCTTTGGTGGTGTGAGAACTGGCAAAGATGTGAGATATGCCTTAAGTCTTTTGAAAGCTTCGTCGGCTTCTTCTGTCCACTCAAACTTGTCCATTTTCTTTAGTAGTTTAAAGAAAGGTAACCCTTTTTCGTCGAGTCTTGATATGAAACGATTGAGGGCCGCCATGTAGCCTGTTAGTTTCTGCACATCTTTGATGCTTCGAGGGGGTCTCATTTCTGTTATGGCTCGAATTTGTTTGGCACTGGCTTCGATTTCATGATGACTGACCAAGAATCCGAGTAGTTGTCCAGAAGGAACTCCGAATAAACACTTGCTTGGGTTCAATTTCCACCTCCACCTTTTTAGGTTTTCGAATGTTTGCTTTAAGTCTTCAATAAGTGTGTCCGGGTTCTTTGTTTTCACTACTACGTCATCCACGTATGCCTCCACGTTTTTGCCGATCTGTTCACCAAGGCACGTCTGGATAGCTCTTTGGTAAGTGGCACCAGTATTCTTGAGTCCAAACGGCATGGTCTTGTAGCAGTAGGCGTCGAACGGAGTGATGAAAGATGTCTTGCTCTGGTCTTATTTTTTTAATGCGATCTGGTGATATCCTGAATAGCAATCAAGGAAGGATAATAGGGCAGATCCTGCTGTTAAATCAACTATCTGATCAATGTGAGGTAGTCGAACGGATCTTTTGGGCAGTGTTTGTTGAGATCTGTGTAGTCGACACACATGTGCCATTCGTCCGTGTTCTTTTTCTGTACTAGAACTGGGTTTGCTAGCCAATCCGGGTGTAGAATCTCTCTGATGAACCCTACTGCCAATAGCTTTGTGATTTTCTTTTTTAATTGCTGCCTTCTTATCGGGTGAGAATCGTCGTAGCCATTGCTTCATAGGCTTGGAGCCTTTATTGATATCAATTCTGTGCTCAGTCAACTCCCTTGAGACACCTGGCATGTCAGCCAGCTTCCAAGCGAAGATATCTTTATTGTTCCGAAGAAAGTTGGTGAGCGTGAGTTCCTATTTTGCCGAGAGGTGAGCACTGATGGTTGCCGTTTTGGAGGGATCACCGGTTTCTAGGTCAATTTGCTTGACATCGGCTTCTTTTGGTGGTGCGAGGATGCTGGGCTTTTTAGCTAGTATCTCTAGTTCTTCCGGGCTCAGTTCCGTGGCAATAGCAGCTATTTCTTTTCTACCATTGGTTGCTTATGCTTTGACTGCAATTTGAATTGCCTAAATATCGCAGTCAAAAGCGCGCTTCAAATCACTTCGCAGGGAGAGGACTCCGTTAGGCCCTGGCATCTTTAGCAATAGGTACGGGTAATGTGGTATTGCCATGAATTTTGCCAGTGCTGGACGTCCGAGGATTGCGTGGTATGATGATTCAAAGTCTATAACTTCAAACTTGATGAACTCTGTGCGGTAGTTTAAGGGAGTTCCAAAAGTAACCGATAGAGTGATTTGTCCAAGTGGCATGGCTGCCTTGCCGGGTACTATCCCATAGAAAGGTGTACTCGTTGGTGTAATCATCCCGGCGAGTTGTAATCCCATCTTCCTTAGAGTTTCTGAAAAATGATGTTGAGTCCGGCTCCTCCATCAATTAGTACCTTTGTGACAGTCATACCGGCAATGGTTGGATCTAGAACCAGTGGGTAATGACTTGCGTTTCCTACGCTAGTCCATTGGTCTTCTCTTGAAAACTAGATCGGATATTGTGACCAATTGAGATATCTTGGAGTAGCCGGTTCTGCTACCATGATGGTTCGTAGAGCTAACTTTTCCTGGTGCTTGCTTCTGGAATCTAGGGCCTCGACAAAGATTACTGCTACTGTTCCACTGGATTTTAGAATCCCTGGTCTTCAGGGTTGTCTTCATCTTTTTCTGATTGTCTTCTTTAGTGCTCCCCTTACTATCTTTTCTTGTGTATCGTTCATTGAAGGTGTAGCAATTTCCAATGGTGTGCTTTCCATTAGGGTGCAATGGGCAATGCATGCTTTCAATGTCGTCATACCTCCTGGGCTTGGAAAACTTCCTTGATTTGTCAGTTACCGCTACGGTGTTGTCTGGTCCACGTTTTCTCTCTTGGTGTCTATTGTTTTGATGATTTTGCTTATCCGGGTTGTCTCGGTTGCTTCTTTCCGGGAACCTTTCTCGTGTCTTCTCCTCTGCAGTAATCATTTTTTCTACTGTGCGTCTGAATTCTTCATTGTTTCTCGGGTCCTCTTTGCAGAAATCCTAAAACTGCCACCTAGCCATGATTCCGTGAGAGAAAGTTTTGATTACTTTTCGTTCGGTGATGTCATGTACTTGGGCACATAGTTCGCCAAATCATCGATAGTAATCTCTGAGACTTTCGTCTCCTTTCTGCTTGAGTCCCTTTAGTTCTATGTGGGTGATTGGGTGCGTAATGATACCCGTGAAATTTTCATAGAAAGCTCTTTGCAAGTCCTCCCAATTTTTGATTGACCCTGAATTAAATTTGTCGAACCATTGGAGGGGCATGGTTTCTAGGGCCATAGAAAATAACAAGGTCTTGATGTCATCGTCTCCTCTAGCCAGTTCAATCGATTGTGAGTAGATTCTGAGCCACTACCTTGATTCGGTCTTGCCATCATATTTAGAGTGGCTGGACGGTTTGAACTTGTGTGTTAGTCGTATTGAAGCAAGTCTGCTTGCAAAACAGGGAAATCTATCGTGCGTCCCGGCTTCTCTGTATTCTGATTCAGCACCTCCTTCTAGCCAACTGTCGTTTTGGCGAGAGTAGTTCTACGGGGCTGTCCAAATGGGTGCTTCGCTTCTGATCTGTCTTGGTTGTTTGCCTCGGTGGTTTTGACTGTGGTCTCTCCTGCTTTCTCTATTGTGACTTCCACTTGGTCTAAGTCTCTCGAATGCGAACTTCCTCTGATTTTGATCTTCCTTCCTATGAGATGTTGATCTTACGAGTTGTCTTGAACGGGTTCTTTCATCGTGTGTCTTTAGGGCTGCTGTTCGAAGAAGTTCCCGGAGCTGAGTTTTTCAAGTGCTTCTCGGATCCTATTGTAGGGTGTGTTCGTCGCACGTCTTTCTTTGACTTCTTGTTTTGATTTTCTCCTGTTGTATTCGACCAGATCTGACTCATATTTGATCCAAGCTTCCTTGCGCTGCCTAGCACGTTGCTGACATCCTTGTTTCAACTTGTTTCTTCTTTCTCTAGCTTGCCTTTGGTTCTTGGTCTCACCATCATAGCCTTGAGCAAAGGGTGATATGGTGGACTTAGATTCATCGGATGACCTGACGTCGGGTGCTTCTGGGGGGATCAATGGTGATCGAGGACGGCGAACCATGAGTACTTCCTGTGCGTGAACTGTTCTGTTATTGGCGTTGATTTCTATACTGTCGGGGTTGCTGATAACTTTAGTAGAGGCTTCAAGGTCACAGATCGAGTCTCCTTGGTAGGGTAGAATTGTTGTTGTCGTCGTGCCGACTAGTTGGGTACTGCTATCCTCAGGAATAGAGCCTGGCCAGTGGACGATGCAGTCTTGAGATGTTATAGTTAGTACGAGACCTTCCTGAGCTCTTTTTAGTGGCATTCTAAGCACTGGGTCGAGGGATCTTTCGAGCTGTGCTTGGTAAGACCTTGCCATGTTGTGGAGTTCAAACGGGAAAAGATCTGACTTCTTGAAGGGATTCTGAGTGCACTCCGTGTTGTATTCTTGATATGCCGAGGCCGCGTTCTGCAGCCCCATTGGAAAAGAACTCGGATTCTCGAAAGAACTTGGGTCATACTCCATCTTGGATGCAGAGCCTGAATTCGAGTCGGATGCGCAAAGTCACGAAACCTGAGTTGAATCGGATATCACGAGCTGCGCGAATCTTCAGTGACTTGATCTGTCGTAGTCATCGAAAAACGTCTTCATGGTGATCCGAATCTTCGTGGAGATGGCTTTGAAGCTTGCCATCGTCGCTAGCCTCGCAGATCCACGAGCCGAAGATGAAGGTTGATCCCGTCGAGAAGATTATGTTGTCGAGGTCCATCGAGCTCTCGGATGCAAATCGCCGAAAGCCCCTACCTGACGCACCAGCTGTCGATGTTTTACCACCGATAGCCTGCCACGGGGTTACCCGGGACAGTATATTTGGGCTTCAGCGTATGCGGAACTCGACGGTGAACGCAAAAAACAGTCGATTTATCCTGGTTCAGGCCCTCGACTGCGGTCGAGTAATAGCCCTACATCTAGTCGGCGTTAGCCCTTGCGTTGTATTGATTGTGTGTTGTTGTGTTGTTTAGTCCTCCTCCCTAGGAACCCCGCCCTCCTTTATATAGTCAGGAGATCAGAGTTCTAGTCGATTTACGATGAGAGTTCCTAGTAGGATTACAGAATACTACTACTACTAGGATTATATGGGAAGAAAACTAGTTGAACTAGATCTTCTCCCTTCCTGACGGGTTATCTGTGGGTCCCACGTCGACAAACCTGCGTAACTAATGCACGATATTCACAGGAAGTGTGACCAGCCCCCGTTAATAAATTATAAGGGGAGGAAGTTAATATACAGTACACAAGAACACGACCAGCCCTAGACTAGGACGACGTGGGTGATGCCGCCAGGTAAGCATCCAGGTTCTTGTTTCGCTTCGAGACACGAATATGATGCAGATCGGTGGGCGCGCCTTGAGCATCGCGAGCATGGACTGCAGCAGCGCCCCGACAGCGTCCCCGCAGATGAGTCCGGCGGCCACCGCCATGGACTGCGCGCGCGCGCCGTCGGCGTCGAGCCTCCTCCACAGGTACATGACGACGCTCCCAAAGAACATGCCGCTGGGTATCCTGGGCGGCACGAAGAACCCGACTGCCACGGCGATGGTGCACGGGAGGTACCGCCCGACGCGCCACCCCCTCCGCGCGGACACCTCGCGGAGCACGCTGTTGGCCAGCGCCACGGCGAAGGCGATCTTGCAGAGCAGCAGGCTCTGCCTGGGAAACCCGGCATGGTCAGACATGGCGATCATGACCATTTCACGGTACATCTTGGCGTACGGGGGAACGACGACCTCGCCCCAGTCGTGGTACCCCCCGTACAGCATCCAGAAGATGATCGGGTTGACCAGGCAGCCGAGCGCCGTCCCCGCGACCTGGCTGATGAGCACGGCGTGCGGCGAGGTGAGGGTGAGGTAGCCCGTCCTGAACACCTGCATGAGGTCGCTGGCGGTGGAGGCGGCGGACATGACGATGATGCCCACGGCGAGCCCGGCGACAACGCCGCCGTTCTCGAGCCCCACCCACGAGCCGAGGAGGAACAGGGCGATCCTGCCGTACGTGGACGCCACGCTCACGTCCGTCACGCCGACGCCGTACGCGCTGCAGAACGTGAACAGCGGCACGACGAGGTAGGCGATGGCCACGTGCGCGGGCCTCAGCTGCGGGTAGAGGTAGGGTACGACGGCGATGGAGACGACCGACAGAGCGACGTAGCCGACGGCGGCTGCCGGGTCGTACACCCGGTCGCGGAGGAACACCTGCGCCCGCCGCCGGTCGATCGTCGAAGCTCCGCGCCGGCGGCCGGTCGTCCACGCCGAGGCACATGAACGGCTGCGTGGCCAGCTGGGAGTGCCGCCGCTTGCGCATCGCGCGGAGCGTCCGGAGCAGGAGGCAGAGCAGGTGGAAGGCGCCGTCGGCGAGGACCATGGATATCCCGATGATGCCCTGCATGAACTCGATGTACGGCAACAGGATCCCGTATGATATCACGGACCCCACGAGCATGGAGATGGTGATCGTGCACGGGCTTAACAGCCCCACGCCGATGTTGGTCATCGAGAAGTCGAAGTAGAACCTGAAACGAACGTTGCATCGAGATTACGATTTACGAGTCGTCGTCAGTATGCAATCCATCCTAATTTAAGTAGATGAATGATTGCTTCAGGGCGTTCTTGTTTAATTCATGCGTGTCTTATACGCACCCACGTTCAGCTGCTGTAAGGCCAAAGATTGGGAACGACTGGAAGCCGCAGCCCTCGCCGCCGGCGAAGAACCACTGCCAGAGCTGCCAGCCCACGGTTCCGGCGAAGGTTTTGAACATGACCGAGACCTGCTTGCTATATATAGTAGCGTGGAAAAAGAAGGGGGGATTTTGTGAGACGCATTGCTTGCGTTTCGCCTTGTTCGCATGGCTTATAAGCCATACTTTTTCAACCAACGAACAATATTTTTCTCTCACAATAAATCAGTCAACAGAACTTTCAGTCATGTCTTATCAGCCAAACGAACAGGGCGTGTGCATGCTGTTGATGAGGTGCGCCGTGGCGGTGCTCGCCGTCGGGAACGTGAGGTGGTGCCGGATGACGAGGCTGTTCCTGAAGGGAATGATAGCGAATATGCCGACGAAGCTGGTGAGGAAGAGGAACGCAACCAGCCGGCCGATGCGGGGCTCGTCGACGTTCTTGGTGCCGCCGTAGGCGGCACCGCCCTCGGCCGCTTTCCCGCTCATCGCCAGGAGGTAGGACCCGAAGCCACCGCTGTAGGCGATGTTGGAGCAGGCGACGACGAAGGTCTGGATCACGGTGTTCTCCTGGCGGGTGAAGGGGAGCTGCGGCACCTCGCAGCCGTCCAGCAGGCGCGTCCACATGCGGGAGAGGAAGAAGCCCAGGAGCCCCGCAGGGATGGTGAGGAACGGCATGTAACCCGAGGTGAGGCTCAGCTTGATGGCCACGACGCTGAGCGTGGTGCCCAGTGTCAGCAGCCGAGTCTTCAGAGTTCTGTTAGCTAGCATAAGACTAGGACTGTCAGTTGTAACTAGAACGACTACTGTAATCGCCCTGGTCTTCAGCTGATCCAAGCATCTAGGAGTCTGTTAGTATTGCTTGGACAGCAGTGATCGGCACCCTGTATATGTACCTGTACACCGCACACATGAATGAATTGAGCGTTCATCTAACTTACATGGTATTAGCCTTCTATCGATCCCAAACCTCTGCTTCCGCATCTCCCACCCATGGCGAGCCCGTCTGCTTCTTCAGCCGCCACCAACCCCTTTGCTGATCCCGCTCCACCCTCTGCCTCCACCTTGGTAATGCTCAACATCTGCAGCCATGTCCCGATTGAGCGTTCATCTAACTTACACCCAGCATGACGCCCACGGCCACCGACCGCGCCGTGAACATCTCCGACGGCGTCGGCACCGGCTCCCCCTCGAACACCTGTTCCACCGACGGCCCGACGGCGGCGTCCTGCTCCTGCAGTTGGTCGTCGTCGTTGTCGTAGGCCGGAGGCTTCATTGTCCGCGCGCGCGGCGAACGCTAGCTCACGCCGAGCTAGCGCTTGCTAACGTTTCCCGCGCGCGTTCTGGTGGCCATGGCCGATCGGGTGTGCTTGCTTCCGGAAATGAAATGTGAGCTCGGGAGGGCTTTTTTATGGAGGTGGAAGAGGGGGATCGTTCGGCTGGTTTCCAGTTTGGAGCGCGTGACAGTTAGCACTTTTTTAAAAAGAAGAACGTGCCATTTTCATGCGTGTTGTTGTGACGGCGGTAAAGTGGGTTGTCGTATCGTTGTATGCCATGCTGGAACAAGCGACGAAAAGGGTTATCTTCGGTCGTCCAGTTGGTTTCTTCCTCTGAATAACTCGCTCAGAAATGCTTGCGTAGGATGCCCGTCCGATCGACCGCCGGCTTCCCAGATCTGTGGATGCTCCCGTTTGGTGGGCCGCGACATCCAATGACGTATCTACTCGTCCACATGCCCCCAATCAAATCTGCTCATCCAGCCCGCCGTAGCGCTGCGACCACGTGCGACTGCCCTCCATGGCTCCAACACACTTGTGTCGCTTTGGCGTTCTCCAGGCATCTGGGCTCCCGCCCGCCATCCCACCCACCCTCTGTGTCATCACCGTCGTCGTGCAGTCCCCACATCTCCCTCCGTGCGCCGCCACCTAGCTTCGCGCCAGCACCGCGACTGGGCTCCACCGCGCTCGTGCCACCTCGGCATTCTCCACAGTGTTCGGGCGCTCGGCGGTCAGCAATGTTGCATTGAAAGCGCTTGTTGCAAGCTTATGTTTTAAGTGTCTCAGGTGTTTTCAGATGTATGTTGAAAGTGTTTTCATATTGAAGTTGTAAAAGTAGATTTGGATGGTGCATATGTTGTAATGGCTATACGCGTATGTTTTAAGTATATGTTCCAAATGTTACATTTGTTTCAGACGTATGTTGCAAGTGTTTTTCATCTGGGTATTGCAAAAATAGATCTAGATGTTGTATTTGTTGCAATGGCTACACACATATGTTGCACGTGTATGTTCCTAATGTTTGATCTATTTCAGACGTATGTTGCAATTGTTTCATCTGGGTACTGTAAAAGTAGATATTGATATTGCAAATGCTACAGTGGCTATGTTACAAGTGTATGTTACAAAAGTGTCATCTATTTTAGGCGTATATTGCAATTATTTCATCGGGTGTTGCAAAAGTAGCTTTGGATGTTGCATATGTTGCAAGACTATGTTACAAATGTATGTTCCAAGTGTTTCATCTGTTTCAGATATATATTGTAATTTGTTTCATCTTGGTGTTGCAAAAGTATATCTGAATGTAGACATGGTGGAAGCCCAAGCAAAGCCCTTGGTGGTCATGCTGATGCCCGAGCAGTGTGGTGGCTGCTGGTCTGCCGCGATAGACGACCATAGGAAGTGGGCCGAGGGGACCTTCGGCGAAACGGCGTGGTCGCCAGCAGGTGGAGGCTGGACTCCCGTGGGGGCGTGAGAGGTGCGGCAGGCGCCTAGGTGAGGCCCGTAGACACGAAGAAGGTCGGCTGCTACGGGTCCCTGGCGTATGGGCTGATAGCGAAGATGGAGGCTACGGATGCGGGAGCGGCGGGGACGAGACGTCGTGGGTAACACAGGCCCGGTGAAAGGTTCTTGTGTGGTTTTGGTATTTGAGTGACAACCTACGTGGACTAATTGTGTTTATATGAGATATACATGTGATTAGTCCACAGGTACATGTGTGTGAGCAACATATGCCATGGGGGTGGAAATGGCTCGGAGATGTTGCAAAGCTCACACATGTGATGATGAAGGAGCTCATTACATATGAGACATGACATTGAGTCATGTGATCAAGGTGGAGAAGATCAAGACATGACTTGGCTTAATGGACTGGTTGTAAGCGTGAAGGGCAAGTCGGAGGCTTTGGAGCGATGGACCGTGTGGCGGTGAAGCTTGAGCAAGACTTGGCGCTGATGGACAAAGGCAACGGTGAAAAGCAAGTGAAGTCAAGATCGATGAACCAATATGATCACGTGATGATATGAAGTGGATCATATCATTGTTGATCTTGTTGGTACATGTGTTGCATCGACAGTGGAGGGGATGGAATGGAATGCGCAAGGCAAAGGTATAACCTAGGGCATTTCATTTCACCGGTCATAAGTGTGTAGAGAAGTTGATGACCGGATTTAGGATAGATGGTCGTACTATCAAGAGGAGCAAACTTGTTTGCATATCAGTCATCTAGTGCCACTCGAGTGATCTAACTTTGCATCGTCGCTAGGATCGAGTGGCGTGGCAAGTTGAGTGGCTAATCCTTTGGAAAATATTTGTGAAAAGCTAACACACATACACATGGTGGTGTACACTTGGTGGTGTTGGCACATTTGTAAAGGTGACGAAGTTGGTGAAGAAAAATAAGTTGAATGCGCTGGTCACAGGGTGACCGGACGCGTCCGATATCTGTACCGGACGCGTCCGGTAATCAGGCTAGGCACGGGCAGAGTTGCCGAGGTGACCGGACTCTGACTCGTAACAGTGATTGGATGCTGAGCAATCACTGTGCTATGTCTGATCGTGGTGACATGGAGCGCTGGTGTTGGTCCAGAGTGGACCGGACGTAGGGGCGCGTCTTGTCGGCCACACCGGACGCGTCCGGTCGGAGTTGAGCAGCTCTGGGAGCTCTTTGGAATCGACCGGACGCTGCCTGTCCTGCGTCCGGTCGGTCACACCGGTCGTGTCCGATCCGACGTGTTAGAGAGAGCCATTGGCGACAACGGCTAGTTTGAATGGGACACGTGGCGATCAGGCAGCGGCGTCCGGTCCCCACCGGACGCATCTGGTGCACACGACCTGCGTGTCCGGTCGTTCCGAAAAACTCTCAGTGAAAGGGTAACGGCTATTTTAGACCGTAAGGCTATAATTAGAAGGTGGTCTCGGCCATGTGGAAGCTCTAGTTTGGTTTTGGTTAATTGATGAAACCTTAAGTGCTAACCTAGTTTATCAAGGTGATTATGAGATAGGTAGCACTACTCCAAGTGATGAAGCAATAACAAAGATCATGACAATGGTGATGGCATGGTGATGATCAAACGCTTGAACTTGGAAAAGAAGAAAGAGAAAAACAAAAGGCTCAAGGCAAAGGTATAAATGATAGGAGCCATTTTGTTTGAGTGATCAAGACACTTAGAGAGTGCGATCACATTTAGGATAGATAACCGTACTATTAAGAGGAGTGAAACTCGTATCGAAATGTGGTTGTCAAAGTGCCACTAGATGTTCTAAACTCATTGCATATGCATTTAGGATCTAGTGGATCACTAACACCCTTGAAAATGTTTGAGAAAATATGCTAACACATGTGCACAAGGTGTTACACTTGGTGGTTAGCACATTTGAGCAAGGGGGAAGAAGACAGAGGAGATGCCAGTGTCGGTCAAGTGACCGGACGCTGGATCTGAATGCACCAGATGCTGACTGCCTGCGTCTGGTCACGCTGACTTGGCGGTATAGGAGCTAGGGTACACCACCGGATGCTGGGTTGTGTCCGGTCGAGGTGGACCGGACGCGTCCGGTCGAGGAAAAATGGATTTGGACCCTTACTGTACTCGACCGGACGCTGTGGCTCCAGCGTCCGATCAGTTTAGCCGGAGCGTCCGGTCAACACTTAGCCGTTGAGATTTAACAGTTCAGTTTTAACTCAGAGTGACACGTGGCAAAAATTAGTGGACCAGACGCTGAGTCCAGGGTCCGGTCAGTCTGACCGGAGCGTCCGGTCAGAGCACGTTTTGCCCAGTGAAGGGGTATAACGGCTCTATTCCGTGGGGGGCTTCTATTTAAGCCCCATAGACGGTTAAAGCTCCTACTCTTGGCCATTTTCATTGACATAGCAACCTTATGAGCTTAGCCAAAGCCCTCCCACTCATCTCCATCATTGATTCATCATCATTGTGAGATTGGAAGAGAATCCAAGTGCATTGCTTGAGTGATTGCATCTAGAGGCACTTGGCATTCGTGTTGCGCTGCGGATTTCGCTTGTTTCTCTTAGTGGTTGCCACCACCTAGATGGTTGGAGTAGTGGTGGAGGATTGGCATGAGTTGGTGATTGTTCGTGGCCATCTCCGGTGATTGTAAGGGGAGTTGTACCTTCCCCGGCGGAGTGCCGAAAGGTAACTCTAGTAAATTGCTCGTGTCATTGAGTTACCTCACTTGTGGGTCGGTTCTTGTGGTGTCCTATCGTGTGGACGAGGTTTGTGAAACACCTCTTAGCCACCGAACCACCAAGTGTTGGTCGACACAACGGGGACGTAGCGTGTTGGCAAGCACGTGAACCTCGGGAGAAAATCGATTGTCTCTTGTCTTTGGCATTCTCCCGATGATTGGCTATATATTCATCTTGTGATTGGTTCATCCCCTACACGGCGGTATAATCACCCTACTCACTTATTTACATTCTTACAAACTAGTTGATACAAGCTCTTTAGTGTAATTAGAATTAAGAGCTTGCTTTATTATTTACATAAATCTAGTTGAGCTCTTTAGAGTAGCAAGTTTGAGAGCTCTTAGTGAGTAGTTACATAGCAAGTTTGTGTGCCTAAGTAATCTTTGCAGCTAGAATTGTTGGATAGGTGGCTTGCAACCCTTGTAGAGCTAGAGCAAGTTTACATTACGTTATTTGTCATACTAATCAAAATGCTCTAGTTGATTTGTAGATTTGTAAATAGGCTACTCACCCCCTCTAGCCATATTAGTACCTTTCAAGTGGTATCAGAGCCGTGGTCACCGTTTGATTAAAGGCTTAACAACCTCGGTGTCAAATTATGGCTCAAGTTGTGTTCAACCATGTGGGGGGGGGCAAACCACCTTTCTTTGATGGCACAAGCTATGGTTATTGAAAGAGAAAGATAAGGGTGTATCTTGGTTCAATCAATGATCAAGTATGGGATGTAACCGAGAATGATTATGCTATCATTGATCCCGACAATCCCACCACCCAAGATAAGTCCAACAAGCAATGTAA